CTGTCGCACCTCAGGCTCATTACTGACCGCTCCACTCTCACTCTCTGTGATGTAGAGCTCTGTGTAGATCTCATTCAGGAGTGTTGGGTTTCCCTGCGTCGCTGTTCCCTCATACAGACGCTCAAACTTCTTCAGCAGATTAGATCTAAACCTGTTGAGGACTTCATGCCTGTAAAATTAAAATACTGCATTATTAAATAATCTAATGAGCACAGTGTCTTTTCTGTATTCTGTATCATAACCAAATAATCTTTTACAGAAATACTAGACCTGAGATTAATCTTTGTGTCTTCACTCTTATAATCTAATGACTGATTCATAGATGCGTCACTCCTCATAGACACACAGCTGGACTCTGCTTCTGATCTCTTCTGCTGAACTGAACTATAACAGAGAGAGATTAAAGCGACTCCTTTAAATTAGCATATTTAAAGGAATAGTTAACTAATTAATGACAGAATTTTCATTTTTTGCTCACCCTAATGTCGTTCCAAACCTTCTTCGGAACACAAATTAAGATATTTCTGATGAATTCCAAAAGCTCTCTGACCCTCCATAGACAGCAAGGATCCTAATACGATCAAGGTCCAGAAACGTAGTAAGGACATTGTTATACGTTGTATAAGTTCAGATCAAAGCAACGTATGCGGAGGAGACGAATTGTTGAATAAAGTCATTCTTTTTGTTTTCTTTGCACACAAAAAGTATTCTCGTAGCTTCGTAAAATTACGGTTGAACAACTGATGTCACGTGGATTATTTTAACGATGTCCTTGCTGCGTTTCTAGACCTCGATCGTGTTAGGATCCTTGCTGTCAGAGCAAGGGTCAGAGAGCTCTCAGAATTCATCAAAAATATCTTAATTTGTGTTTCGAAGATGAACAACGGTCTAACAGGTTTGGAACGACACAAGGGTGAGTAATTAATGACAGAATTTTCATTTTAGGGTAAACTATCCCTTTAACAAAATTTAAACAATCACTTTAAAAGGCACTTCCGGATCATTTCATTTACACAATTGTATTACAAAAGATGTTAAATAGAACCGAGTGCTTTCACTATATGTTAAAATATCACATAAAAATAACACTTTTGATAATATAAAATGAAATGCTATAATAATATTTTTTATAAAAACATACCTGAGATCAGTCTTTGTATCTCCACTCTTAAACTCTATTATTTGATCCATAGATGTGTCACTCCTCATAGACTCACAGCTGGGCTCTGGTTCTGATATCTCCTGCTGAAATGAGCTACAACAAAACAGATTTAATCCTTTATTATGATAATTCTTTTCTTTTAAGTTCTTTGAGCATTTTTCATCATAAAGTACATACAATACATACTCATATAGGGTCACTCCGTGTCAACTCAACCACAGGTCCCAAGCTAAAAAAAATTTAATTTGCTAATATTTTTTTCTGAAGAAAGATAAACATGTTAGTGATGAAAGGCAAAATATTAAATGTCGTTGATGAATATTTATGGAGTAATCCACTTTTTGTAGAGGGGGGTCAAAATGGCAATTTTCACCTGAGATTCAGAGCCAAATTACAAG